GCCGTCACTGTCACGGCGAGTCGGTGACATTAATCAAGGGCGGATCCAGCCGGCCGTCTTGGGGGGGGGGGGGGCAACCAGTTGGGACTAGCCAAACCTAGGGTACCCCCAAATCTAGTTTTCTCACCGGTTTTGGGCCACTTATTTTTCACCCTTCGCCTTTTCATCGAAAAAAAAAAACGAAACGAAAACATTTGCAAAAAGTGAGATATTTTGTCTCAGCTGAGTCAAGGAATTACCTTTTTGGTAACGTAGAATTAAGGCTTAAATCTTCCACATGAGCTGTCAAGCCAGGTAAAGAGGGGGATTTTTTCTTAAATGTTTTCTTCCCTTTAGTTTTCCTTTGTGACCCACAACCGCTAATTCAGGGAGGGCAAGCTGTCCCGACGGTTCCTAGCCCTATGAAAAGTTGTGGGGCAGCGCCCCCACGGCCCCAGAGTTGTGGGGGCAGGCTGCCCCCACTGACCCCCAGCTCCCGCGCCCATGACCACAAAGTTCAGGCCCATGGCCCGGCGTCGAGCTCAAATTCAGACTCGGCAATGTCGATGGTGTGTCCGAGTTCAGACAAGCTGAGCTTATGCTGGGTTCAGCTAGGACGATTGAAGAGGTATCCTGTTGGGCTAAATGCCGGACAATCTCAAGCTCTAATTTTGCATTTAATGCTTAATTATCATACTATGTTGAGTGAAAACTACCCATGTGTCATTAAGCATAACTTCAAATAGTGGGTTTAGTTAGTGACATATGGTGGAGCACTAGGGGTTTTAGGGGTGCACATGCACCCCCTAACTGAATAAAGCACCTTCTCAAAATGACGCTTGAAACACTTCAAAAACAAGTACAGGTAAGGGGAAATTGTGTCTTCCTCTGTTAACCCTCGCCCGTATAGGGGGAGGGGTCGAACAGACCCCACCCCCTCGGTTTTTCGCGAATAACTCGCGTAAAAACGGCTAATCGCGACGAAACTTCAGTACCCTCGAGTTAATCAATTTTGCATCTACCCTAAAACTTTAATTACCCTGACCCAAGTGACCTTTGACCTGTGACCTATTTCTCGAGACCATGTTTGGCCGGGATCGCGATTCGGCGTATGTTGGCTCGCATTAGCCGCGCGTTTGCAGTCTTTTCGTGGTTTCAAGCGTTCAAACATGTGATATGATGTTGGTCCCATGCATTTGGATGGGTGTGAAGGTCACCTGAAGGGCAGGTCAGGTCATTGACCTTTGATGACCTCAGTTCACTTTTTCGAGTTTTATATGTTTCTAGGCTAGTTTTTGGAGTTGAACTCGAATTCAGCAACCATTTGAACATTTACGAAGTACTTTTGGTGCCTTCGTAACATGTTACGAAGCTGTGAGAGGCGGTTGACACGTACTACGAATACCCGGCAGGACCACTACTGGTTGACCTGACCCAACCTGGCCTAAATGCATGAAGACATCTTCTGGGATCAACACTAACACGATATTCGTGATCAGCACCCCGAAAAAGCTCAGCCACACTTACGACGCTCTAAGGTCCCAATTTACCCGACTTTTGGGTCATTGACCTGACCTGGAAGGTCAACCATGAACCAATGACCTAGGACCTTAAATTGGGTATCATCGTCTTCCTCTTGTCACGGGCAGCACGCTCGTTTTTTTTTTCGCGAAGCTCTAGCTCGATCAGCGGCCAAACGGCAATGGGGGCAACGCCCCCCCCCCCCCCCCCCCTATACGTTCGCGGCTGACAAAACGCCAATACGGGTGAGGTTTAAATCCATATTACATTCAGGCATGAGACAAGAAAGCTCCTGGTTAATAGTATTAATGAACTATGAAGAAGCTTCAGCTATTAAGAAGCTTCTGAAATCTCTCAAGCTGAAGTTGATTATACTCAGTGTTGTTATGATCATTCCTCAGTTTTCTGACAAGAATCACACATTTGGCCATGGCAAACGTTGAAAATACCCTTTTCTTTAAGAAAGTGCCTAACGACAATCTAATTTTCCAACAAATTTGCAATTAAAACCAACCAGTACACAATAGGTACAGAACACGTGCCTATGAATGCGAATAACAATGTGATATCATGTCGATTTCTCCTACATGTTAACCCTCGCCGGCACAGGGCATTTTTTTATTATTCAGGCCTCCCTCCAACGGGCTCTTGTGTTGTCCCAATTATAGGAAGGCTCCATCTCCTCCCGGCCCCCAGGCTACGGCTGAAGTGGGAGCCTACCCCACACCTGGTGACACAGCCGGGGACGACGCCCGCGGAACGGGCGGAACCGGGAATCGAACCCGAATCCGGCACCGCCCGCACCGCGGGCCGACGCCTTAACCGACTGCGCCACCAGGGCCGCTATTTAGCATTTTGGCAGGCATTTTGACTCTGGTTGGCAGAGTTTTTCACGTTTGCCCCAAGGTCACTCAATCATCAAAGCTGAGCAGTATTTCAGTTTTTCAGCATAGGAACTTTGAGAATGTTTATTTTTTAGTTTACTTGACTTATGTCTGGGGGGGGGGGGCAAAAGATAGTATGGCCCCCCCCCTTTGACCGTCTTGGGGGGCCATGGCCCCGTTGGCCCCCCTTGGATCCGCCCTTGGGCCATTTTCATCTGAATATAGCTGAGGTCAGGTCACTTTCAGGTCAAAAAAGGTCAAATTTTTAAGTTGAAAATTTTCAACAAAAAACATGTCTACCGGATGCAGTGTGATCTCAAGAACACGATGGTGCTATTTATATTGGTGTACGATGTCAAATTCGTACTGAAAAATTGATTTGAAAAATTTTAAATTGTGAATTTTTTGCTATAATGCGTATAACTTGGCCATTTTTGAAGTTATCTAGCTAAAACTTGCTAGAGTAGGTCATAAGCATGTGTTCTATCATATATATTCCGGTTTTCTCGAAAAATCAAAAACTTTTTGAAAAAGATAAAAATACAAATTTTGAAATTTAATATATATAATTTTCAAAATGTTCCAAATTGTGTACATCAGAGATAACAGCTCGATAGCGCAGTCTATTCTGAGTCCTTTCATGCAAAAAAGAATCGCATCTAGCTCAAAAACTGAGCTCTTGGGAGCGATTCCCGTGGTTCAATGTTTTGCGTCGAAATCGGCTGAGCATTACGTCACTCTGAGTCATTTCTGGCCGACCTATGATAGATACGAAGTTCAAATTTTGACACAAGGTGTCAACTTGATGCAGCCGAAGGTAATGAAAGTTTGGTGGCGATATGATAAGCGGTTTAGAAGTTATTGCAGAAAAACGGGAGGGGCTATGAATAGCCCCTCCCCCAGTGAGGCGCGGGCTCGTTAGCGTGGCAAAATGCCACCTCAAAAGTCAACTTTGAGAGGATCAAATGCGCTTTCAATAAGAATTTATAGCGCTCAAACAGTCCTGTGATGAATTGCGCGCCACGGGTCGTTTGTCGCGCCGAGTGGCGCAGCTGTTGCCGACCATCCCTCACTAGCTCGTCCATGCATTGACCGCTCGGCGGGCGGCGCATTGCAGCGGTGCAGGGTCGTTTTTCACGCGCTGCTCGGCACCTCGTCAATGGCGCGCTACTCGTCTAATGAGGTCCATTGAGCGCCCGCTGAATTACCTGCGCCCCGGCCATGTGGGCCGCCCTGCAGTGTCCGGCGCGCGCGCTGAATGGCCGTCCGGCCCACCGCCGCCGCTATGACTGTGTGCACTCGGTATGAGCGAGGCCGTCAGGCGGCCGGCCGGCGGCACAAAGGAGCGGTGACATTATGTGCCACACGCCGGCACTGTCTCCCGGAGGTGAGCGCCATCGATTGTCACCAAACGGCGCCGCGAGCTGTCGATTGGACAAACAGGGCAACAGCGGCGCCATTCCATGACCATTGAGACAGAATAGGACCAGTTTTCCATGCATTCCATCCTAAGAGCACTTAAAAACATTGCAGGCATTCAAATAGTCGCAAAGGAAAGGACGGTACATGCTTAAACCGGACCGCAATTGGATCGCGAATAGCTGGCGCGTTTCGTGAAGCTACATTCCATTCGTACTCGTAATTCACTGTCCACCGGCACCCTAATTGACTTTTATCCTTATCTTTTGCTAGATTTTCCCATGATCACAGAATATAGAACTTGCATTGTGCACAGTGCACAAGTCACAAAGATGGAAAACCTTCCGAGGCGGCTGTAGTCCCCCCCCCCCCACCCCCCGCCGTACACTCACCGACTGTAGTCGGGCGTAGTAGTCCCTGCGGAAGGTGTCCGAGGCGGCTGTAGTCCCCCGTCGTACACTCACCGGCTGTAGTCGGGCGTAGTAGTCCCTGCGGAAGGTGTCCGAGGCGGCTGTAGTCCCCCGTCGTACACTCACCGGCTGTAGTCGGGCGTAGTAGTCCCTGCGGAAGGTGTCTGAGGCGGCTGTAGTCCCCCCCGTCGTACACTCACCGGCTGTAGTCGGGCGTAGTAGTCCCTGCGGAAGGTGTCCGAGGCGGCTGTAGTCCCCCCGTCGTACACTCACCGGCTGTAGTCGGGCGTAGTAGTCCTTGCGGAAGGTGTCTGAGGCGGCTGTAGTCTCCCCGTCGTACACTCACCGGCTGTAGTCGGGCGTAGTAGTCCCTGCGGAAGGTGTCCGAGGCGACTGTAGTCCCCCCCGTCGTACACTCACCGGCTGTAGTCGGGCGTAGTAGTCCCTGCGGAAGGTGTCCGAGGCGGCTGTAGTCCCCCCGTCGTACACTCACCGGCTGTAGTCGGGCGTAGTAGTCCTTGCGGAAGGTGTCTGAGGCGGCTGTAGTCTCCCCGTCGTACACTCACCGGCTGTAGTCGGGCGTAGTAGTCCCTGCGGAAGGTGTCCGAGGCGACTGTAGTCCCCCCCGTCGTACACTCACCGGCTGTAGTCGGGCGTAGTAGTCCCTGCGGAAGGTGTCCGAGGCGGCTGTAGTCCCCCCGTCGTACACTTACCGGCTGTAGTCGGGCGTAGTTGCCCATGCGGAAGGTGTCTGAGGCGACTGTAGTCCCCCCCGTCGTACACTCACCGGCTGTAGTCGGGCGTAGTAGTCCTTGCGGAAGGTGTCCGAGACAGCCGTAGTCAGCGCGCAGTTGAGCTGTTTGACCGCCGTCGGCCGGCCGTCCTTGGTCATCTGAACGAACGCCTGCAGGATGGCCATCATGCCCTGCTTGGCCGTCATACTGGGCAGCTGAAACGACAGAACACACATGTCAGAATACAGCCGGTTCCTTTTATACGAGCTACCTCATTCGGTTTAAGTGGTGTTGAGCTTCATTACGAAGAAAATAATAATTTGCCGTACCTAATTCAGAGTATCGAAACGCCTGGCGTGCACCGTTATCTGAAATTGAATCGCGTTAATATTAACCGCAGGCTTTTTAAAATAGACAAACACTGTTCGTTAGAAGTGTGCTATTCTCTTGATACGCTGGGGTTCTAATTGAATAGCAGTTCTGATGACCCTCAAGTCGGGAGTTTCTGTTCCTCCCCTGCCAAACCGACTATTCCCGGACAAGACACCGCATGGCCTTGTGGCTCTCTGATCACCGAGCCAACGGGGTATGATGCTACCAGCTACGGGATATGCTGCGGTGGTCCACGGGACTTTGCTGGCGAGGCCGACAGACCGACCTGGAAGTCGGCGGGGCAGGCGGAGCAGTCGGCCGCCAGGCCGGCCAAGCTGCAGCATGCCTCGGCCGCCGGCTGGATGTTGGTGATGGCCCTCGTCAGCGCCTCCTGGTTGAAGCCGGCCGCCCGTCCGTCCGTCAGCACCACCGTCCACCACGAGTCCTTGGTCATCAGACCCGAGCTGGTGGCCTGCAGACGAGAGGGGGAGCGTCATACCCGAGCTGGTGGCCTGCGGGAGGGGGATAAAGGGGCATCAGATTTAGACCCGAGCTTCCCGTCTCTTTGTCTAAATGCTCCGAATACGGCAGGGACCAATCCAAATTATGTAACGGAAGTTGGCACAGATTCAGCACAGATTCAGCACAGCACAGATTCGGTAGGGGGAAAAAAGGCCCCGGTAGAGGGAAACCTTTATGACCCGTTTTCCCCTAGAAATGACGTCACAAAGAGGTAAAAATGGGTATCAATCGAAAGCTCTCGTTTACCCAGACACAGTCCTGCAGGTAAATTCCACTTTTTCCCCATAGGAAAGTTTTTACGGGAAAATCAAAATTTCGGGTCAATGGGGGGTCCCCCCCGATTTCGTTCAAAATCGGCACACAGGTGCCCCACCACCAGCCGAGAAACTTTCCCCAAAACGGTCCCCGTTGCATTGACGTTTAAGGCCCTTAAAGCCCCGTAAACTCGTAAAAAATCCGTAAATTCGCCCTTGTACGGCCAAAAACGGGGCGCTATGGTGAAAATGGGTATCAATCGAAAGCTCTCGTTTACCCAGACACATTCCTGCAGGTAAATTCCACTTTTTCCCCATAGGAAAGTTTTTACGGGAAAATCAAAATTTCGGGTCAATGGGGGGTCCCCCCCCGATTTCGTTTAAAATCGGCACACAGGTGCCCCACCACCAGCCGAGAAACTTTCCCCAAAACGGTCCCCGTTGCATTGACGTTTAAGGCCCGTAAAGCCCCCTAGACTCGTAAAATATCCGTAAAATCGCCTTTGTACGGACAAAAAAGTGGTGCTATGGTAAAAATGGGTATCAATCGAAAGCTCTCGTTTACCCAGATACAGTCCTGCAGGAAAATTCCACTTTTTCCCCATAGGAAAGTTTTTACGGGAAAATCAAAATTTTGGGTCAATGGGGGTCCCCCCCCCCCCGATTTCGTTCAAAATCGGCACACAGGTGCCCCACCACCAGCCGAGAAACTTTCCCCAAAACGGTCCCCGTTGCATTGACGTTTAAGGCCCTTAAAGCCCCGTAAACTCGTAAAAAATCCGTAAATTCGCCCTTGTACGGCCAAAAACGGGGCGCTAGGGTGAAAATGGGTATCAATCGAAAGCTCTCGTTTACCCAGACACAGTCCTGCAGGTAAATTCCACTTTTTCCCCATAGGAAAGTTTTTACGGGAAAATCAAAATTTCGGGTCAATGGGGGGTCCCCCCCCCGATTTCGTTCAAAATCGGCACACAGGTGCCCCACCACCAGCCGAGAAACTTTCTCCAAAACGGTCCCCGTTGCATTGACGTTTAAGGCCCGTAAAGCCCCCTAGACTCGTAAAATATCCGTAAAATCGCCTTTGTACGGACAAAAAAGTGGTGCTATGGTAAAAATGGGTATCAATCGAAAGCCCTCGTTTACCCAGACACAGTCCTGCAGGAAAATTCCACTTTTTCCCCATAGGAAAGTTTTTACGGGAAAATCAAAATTTTGGGTCAATGGGGGGTCCCCCCGATTTCGTTCAAAATCGGCACACAGGTGCCCCACCACCAGCCGAGAAACTTTCTCCAAAACGGTCCCCGTTGCATTGACGTTTAAGGCCCGTAAAGCCCCCTAGACTCGTAAAATATCCGTAAAATCGCCTTTGTACGGACAAAAAAGTGGTGCTATGGTAAAAATGGGTATCAATCGAAAGCTCTCGTTTACCCAGACACAGTCCTGCAGGTAAATTCCACTTTTTCCCCATAGGAAAGTTTTTACGGGAAAATCAAAATTTCGGGTCAATGGGGGGTCCCCCCCCGATTTCGTTCAAAATCGGCACACAGGTGCCCCACCACCAGCCGAGAAACTTTCCCCAAAACGGTCCCCGTTGCATTGACGTTTAAGGCCCTTAAAGCCCCGTAAACTCGTAAAAAATCCGTAAATTCGCCCTTGTACGGCCAAAAACGGGGCGCTAGGGTGAAAATGTGTATCAATCGAAAGCTCTCGTTTACCCAGACACAGTCCTGCAGGTAAATTCCACTTTTTCCCCATAGGAAAGTTTTTACGGGAAAATCAAAATTTTGGGTCAATGGGGGGTCCCCCCGATTTCGTTCAAAATCGGCACACAGGTGCCCCACCACCAGCCGAGAAACTTTCCCCAAAACGGTCCCCGTTGCATTGACGTTTAAGGCCCGTAAAGCCCCCTAGACTCGTAAAATATCCGTAAATTCGCCTTTGTACGGACAAAAAAGTGGTGCTATGGTAAAAATGGGTATCAATCGAAAGCTCTCGTTTACCCAGACACAGTCCTGCAGGAACATTCCACTTTTTCCCCATAGGAAAGTTTTTACGGGAAAATCAAAATTTTGGGTCAATGGGGGTCCCCCCCCCGATTTCGTTCAAAATCGGCACACAGGTGCCCCACCACCAGCCGAGAAACTTTCCCCAAAACGGTCCCCGTTGCATTGACGTTTAAGGCCCGTAAAGCCCCCTAAACTCGTAAAATATCCGTAAAATCGCCTTTGTACGGACAAAAAAGTGGTGCTATGGTAAAAATGGGTATCAATCGAAAGCTCATGTTTACCCAGACACAGTCCTGCAGGAAAATTCCACTTTTTCCCATAGGAAAGTTTTAACGGGAAAAACAAAATTTTGGGTCAATGGGGGGTCCCCCGATTTCGTTCAAAATCGGCACACAGGTGCCGATATTTTACGGATTTATTTTAAGGATTTTACGGATATTTTACGAGTCTAGGGGGCTTTACGGGCCTTAAACGTCAATGCAACGGGGACCGTTTTGGGGAAAGTTTCTCGGCTGGTGGTGGGGCACCTGTGTGCCGATTTTGAACGAAATCGGGGGGGGGCCCCCCATTGACCCAAAATTTTGATTTTCCCGTAAAAACTTTCCTATGGGGAAAAAAAGAAATTTTCCTGCAGGACTGTGTCTGGGTAAACGAGAGCTTTCGATTGATACCCATTTTTACCATAGCACCACTTTTTTGTCCGTACAAAGGCGAATTTACGGATATTTTACGAGTCTAGGGGGCTTTACGGGCCTTAAACGTCAATGCAACGGGGACCGTTTTGGGGAAAGTTTCTCGGCTGGTGGTGGGGCACCTGTGTGCCGATTTTGAACGAAATCGGGGGGGACCCCCCATTGACCCAAAATTTTGATTTTCCCGTAAAAACTTTCCTATGGGGAAAAAGTAGAATTTTCCTGCAGGACTGTGTCTGGGTAAACGAGAGCTTTCGATTGATACCCATTTTTACCATAGCACCACTTTTTTGTCCGTACAAAGGCGATTTTACGGATATTTTACGAGTCTAAGGGGCTTTACGGGCCTTAAACGTCAATGCAACGGGGACCGTTTTGGGGAAAGTTTCTCGGCTGGTGGTGGGGCACCTGTGTGCCGATTTTGAACGAAATCGGGGGGGACCCCCCATTGACCCAAAATTTTGATTTTCCCGTAAAAACTTTCCTATGGGGAAAAAGTAGAATTTTCCTGCAGGACTGTGTCTGGGTAAACGTGAGCTTTCGATTGATACCCATTTTTACCATAGCACCACTTTTTTGTCCGTACAAAGGCGATTTTACGGATATTTTACGAGTCTAAGGGGCTTTACGGGCCTTAAACGTCAATGCAACGGGGACCGTTTTGGGGAAAGTTTCTCGGCTGGTGGTGGGGCACCTGTGTGCCGATTTTGAACGAAATCGGGGGGGACCCCCCATTGACCCAAAATTTTGATTTTCCCGTAAAAACTTTCCTATGGGGAAAAAGTAGAATTTTCCTGCAGAACTGTGTCTGGGTAAACGAGAGCTTTCGATTGATACCCATTTTTACCATAGCACCACTTTTTTGTCCGTACAAAGGCGAATTTACGGATATTTTACGAGTCTAGGGGGCTTTACGGGCCTTAAACGTCAATGCAACGGGGACCGTTTTGGGGAAAGTTTCTCGGCTGGTGGTGGGGCACCTGTGTGCCGATTTTGAACGAAATCGGGGGGGACCCCCCATTGACCCAAAATTTTGATTTTCCCGTAAAAACTTTCTTATGGGGTAAAAGTGAAATTTTCCTGCAGGACTGTGTCTGGGTAAACGAGAGCTTTCGATTGATACCCATTTTTACCATAGCACCACTTTTTTGTCCGTACAAAGGCGAATTTACGGATATTTTACGAGTCTAGGGGGCTTTACGGGCCTTAAACGTCAATGCAACGGGACCGTTTTGGGGAAAGTTTCTCGGCTGGTGGTGGGGCACCTGTGTGCCGATTTTGAACGAAATCGGGGGGGACCCCCCATTGACCCAAAATTTTGATTTTCCCGTAAAAACTTTCCTATGGGGAAAAAGTGAAATTTTCCTGCAGGACTGTGTCTGGGTAAACGAGAGCTTTCGATTGATACCCAATTTTACCATAGCACCACTTTTTTGTCCGTACAAAGGCGAATTTACGGATATTTTACGAGTCTAGGGGGCTTTACGGGCCTTAAACGTCAATGCAACGGGGACCGTTTTGGGGAAAGTTTCTCGGCTGGTGGTGGGGCACCTGTGTGCCGATTTTGAACGAAATCGGGGGGGACCCCCCCATTGACCCAAAATTTTGATTTTCCCGTACAAACTTTCCTATGGGGAAAAAGTAGAATTTTCCTGCAGGACTGAGTCTGAGTAAACGAGAGCTTTCGATTGATACCCATTTTTACCATAGCACCACTTTTTTGTCCGTACAAAGGCGATTTTACGGATATTTTACGAGTCTAGGGGGCTTTACGGGCCTTAAACGTCAATGCAACGGGGACCGTTTTGGGGAAAGTTTCTCGGCTGGTGGTGGGGCACCTGTGTGCCGATTTTGAACGAAATCGGGGGGGACCCCCCATTGACCCAAAATTTTGATTTTCCCGTACAAACTTTCCTATGGGGAAAAAGTGAAATTTTCCTGCAGGACTGTGTCTGGGTAAACGAGAGCTTTCGATTGATACCCATTTTTACCTCTTTGTGACGTCATTTCTAGGGGAAAACGGGTCATAAAGGTTTCCCTCTACCGGGGCCTTTTTTCCCCCTACCGAATCTGTGCTGTGCTGAATCTGTGCTGAATCTGTGCCAACTTCCGTTACATATCCAAATTCCAATTAATGGTGAAAAAGTGTGTGGTGTGCTTTTTCGGTTAACATTGCGCATGAGGGAATTATTGGGATAAAAAGTAACAAGTATGTATTTGGCATTGTTGCAGTATTTATATGCATCCGTCAGCTGATACTATAAACTGTCATCTGATTGGCCCTCTCTGTGTGACGTCTCTCCCCGGTCATTATCTGATTGGCTCTCCTCGCGGGCTACCCTCACCCCAAACAGCAGCTGATTGGCTATCAGCGCAGACCACCCACCTCGGCCATCAGCTGATTGGCTCTCTCCGTGTCGGCGAAGATGACGTAATAGGTGGGCGTGGGACGGATCTTCTTCAGGTCCTCGACGATGTTGGTCTCGAGGCCCTCCATGACGACCACGCGTAGCATGGTGTTACCCAGGAGGTACAGAATCGACTGGTTCATACCTGCAACACGGTCACACACAACAGTCGGTTCATCCGGAGTCTGCTCGTACGTACGTACAGTCTGTCTTAAAAGTACCGCGCAAAGTGAGGGTGGATCCATCAAGCCTGACCGAGGAAGGGCCTGCAAAATTTGAGTCACCGAAGTAGTTGACATCCTCGTCCATTCCTCAGGTCAATTGGTTCGGTGACTTTCAAATTATAGCAGGCCCTTCCTTGGTCAGGCTTGATGGATCCACCCTCACTTTGCGCGGTACTTTTAAGACAGACTGTACGTACCTACCTGAAACACGTTCTCAGAAAGACAATAGTTTAAACAGATTCCACCCGTTCATGCCTGAGAGGGGTTCAATGAGAAACAGTCGTTTCATCCGGCGTCCGCTGGCTTGTGCCGGGATTTTGGAACATGTTCAGTGTTCACAGACAACAGTCGGTTCGCACAGAGTCCGCCCGGTCGTACCTTCAGAAATCAGAATGTCCTCCGCAACATTGGCGCACACAGAAAAATATTAACACCGTTAGCGGTGTAATTGCACAGTACATATCTGAGCACTTGAGGAAAGTTAATTTAGTCCCTTCCCCGCTTAAATTACTCGCGCTTCCAAATGAACACCAGGAAGAAGGTAATAGAACACTGTTAGGAGGGTTGGGTGTTTTGCTACATGTAGTAAAACACCCAACCCTCCTAACAGTGTTCTGTTACCTTCTTCCTGGTGTTCATTTGGAAGCGCGAGTAATTTAAGCGGGGAAGGGACTAAATTAACTTTCCTCAAGTGCTCAGATATGTACTGTGCAATTACACCGCTAACGGTGTCAATATTTTTCTGTGTGCGGCGGAACGGCGGGGGGGGGGGGAGCACCGGGCACCATGCCTCCTTGATATTGCCATTTTATCATAACCCGTATGGCCGTTGCATGGAAAGAATGGGACCAAAAGTCGTCAGTGCCCCCCCCCCCCCCTAATTGAAGATATTCCATGCCGCTACTGCTCAGCAAGGATGATGCGCTAAAGCATGCAACAGTATGCCGAGAGTTTTTACCCGTAGGTTCACGCTGCATTGCGGGGGCTCAGTGATCATTTGATATGTTCGATAGGCTCTCTGTCGAGTAGTGAACATTTGAATGATTATTTGGACTGAATGCCTGCAGGCTGCAACTGGGCTACAACTTACGATTGACTGGTTCTTGCAGCAAATAGGCCTGAGTAATCCATTGACAAAGTATGTAATAGCATCGTGCCGATCGAACTGAAATTGATGCCAGGTCTTTCTGTCATTTTATCAGTCGTTCAGTTGAATGTAGGCGGGCACTTGCTAAATCATGGTCCTTCGGCTAAATACATCGTCATTAGGATACATAGTCGTAAATTTAGCTTTTGTGGTTGGCGATTAATATGAAGCGACGGTTTCATTCCCAGCAGTTAAGTAATACTTCTTATAATGCAAACTTTTAAAAACTCTCCTTGGGTAACTCTTAACCCTTGCCTTGGCAGGGGGGTCGAAGCGGGGTCGATGCGACTCCCCCCCCCCCCGAGGGTTTTTTTTGCGATGCGCGCCGAACTATCAGTCTGAAATTTTCAAAAGCTTGTAAGGCATCCTTTGCGCAGCTTTTGGTAAAAAAAAAGAACATTTCCGGGTCATGTCAGGTCACCGAGCTATGATGTCATAATAGGTTAAACCTCCGAACTCCGACCATTTTTGGCAAAATCATACACATACCTAGTACCGCGTAACTGGACGTGATCTTACCGACAGGAACGAAACTATTCCGTGCGATTTATGTCAGAATTCGACTGCACGGGAAGCTTAACATTGTACATTGACCCTTCTAAGGTCAACCAAGGTCAATGACCTCGCATGTTCACACGCTGACCTCCGTGATATGAGCTTTGGTTAGTGAGGTTTCTTGAGGCCCTGAATCCGAATCTGTGTTTCAATTTTCACCTATGTAAGCGCCTTCAAAACTGTTCCTTGACCTTTACGAGGTCAACCTAGGTCAGCTCTAGATATTAGCGACCGTCGCCGCCGCCGGCGGGTGTGACCTCCCGTGTTCCCGGGGAATATGTCACGCCATTAAATGACTGAAATACAAGCAATTATACATCTTTTTTTTTGTTGCTAATTCGTTGAGAAACACGGTCGCGAAAGTTGCATGTCACTATCTTTCATAGATTCACCAATAGGTATTGGCTTAGTAATTTGGAAAATTACAGCTTTTCCCCTAAATTTGACCTTTGAAAATTCGCATTGACTTCCCCCCCCCCTTCCACGCCGCGTTATGAAAAATTCCCTGCCAGGGCGAGGGTTAACGATGCATGTTAGATCCCTGCATTAACGACGACTATGATGGGCGAGACACATATATAGATGCCTAAGAATCCGTTGTGCGGTATTTTTTCAGACGTCAACAATACCCGTATTTGTTTGGTGTCTGGAAACTTGTTCCAGAAGATAATGGCAGAACAATTGCGTGTGTACAATTGCGTGTGATCGTCAGGCATAAAAACGGCAGTAATCACCCCGTGCTGTTTCACGGTTAGCCTCCCAAACCCTGTGTAAATATCATGTAAACATTTCTTTTTTGCAATGACCTTTTTTTGCTCGTTCGTCGCGAGGAGGACGGTGAGTGGACAAACAATGTGGGTGGCGGTGCATCGATTTGTCCTTTCCTAATTCGTTTCCATAGACCGGTAGCCGAGTGCCAGTTCGAAGGAAAACGATTAGGCCATTGTTTGATTACTTAGACCATCATTCTGGAGTAGAGGATGACAGTGACCAGTGCGAGCCATTTGTTAAAAACCGAATGTGGACTAGTCATTCGTCAACGTATTGTAACGAAAGCGTTCCAATGTTATGTATATCACCTTTAGGCAATACAGAAACAATTTTTTGGAGTCAATCTTGCAGACGTCTTTTACTTGGTCCCTCTCAACGTGGCACATAAATGCATATCAAATACATTAGGAGATTGATGTACAAATTACAAGCAACATCACAAAATGCGAAACGACTCTAACAGAAGTACCATCTGAATTTTGAAACACTTTGCAAGTATTTTGAATTTTGCAAGTTTATGCAAGTATAGGTACCTATGGAGTATGGAAGACGTGTCAACTACCGGGTGGCCCAGAAAAACGTTCCGAACTTTGGAGGCCTATATCTCAAATTCGAGTGTAAATAACGAGCCAAAATTTTCATCAAGTTTGCGTCATTTCTTTGCGCATTGGTATGCCAAATTATAGCACTGTACCATCATTTTCAAGCTGGCAATCTTGAGTTGAAGTAAGCAAGACGTTTTTGCTTTTTTTCCGATGTCGAACGATAGTGATGATTGGGTTAGCCGTCCCATGTTATAAAAAAGAATAGAAAAAATAGAGCACGTTAATGAAACCAACACGTATGTTCTTATTTTAAATATTTTTGTCTCACTTATGTGCCAAATATTCAAATACTGAGCCAAAATGGTGCTCACTGCTCATGGATGCCATTCGTTTCAACACCAAATCATGTTTCGAGCAGGAGTGGCACGGTGCATGGATTACTGCTGATTAGTGATTACCCTCCTTTCAGTAGATCAAACAGTAAATCGACCGGATAAGGAAAACAAACTAAAGCAGACTGGTTCCTGTGACAGAAGACCACAGAATAGCTTATGAAAAACAACATTGCCAGCAGATGACAAAAAAAGACTGGTTGAAAAGCTACCTTTTCCCAGGAATGTCAGCCAGGAAAGCATTTGAGCCACAAGATGGTTAGAACACTGGAAACTTCTTCCAATAATGTTGCCGCTGGCACAGAGCGATCGTGGTTGCCTGAGGGAATGTGTCATCCTGAAGTCTGAACCTTTAATGAGACTAGCTGCCAGTAGCAGTCATGGCTGTAGGCCGCGGTGCCGCGGGGTGAAAGTGCCCCGTTCACTCACATTTTTTTAGTAAACATCTGTGCAAAAAAGTAATGTTTACATGACATTATTGAAACGCGAACCGTTTAAAAAGTAATTTACCGAACAGCATGAAAATCACACAATTTACTGAAAATGTGTGCCGCATTGACTATTCGAAGTTTTAATGTTGTATCTTTATCACTTTCTGAGAAATATTGATTTAAAGTTGGGAACGTTTTTTCTGGGCCACCCGGTATATAGGTAGTTGATTGTTAGGCGACTGGCGAGCACACAGCACAAAGGCAGCGGCGGCGGGCAGCACTCCCGTGATGGCCGGGGCGGTGTCGACTGTTTATAGCTCCATTGTTCCGGCACGGCCGCCAGCCAGGTGAATTTGTTCAGCTCTGGGACATCCGGCAGCTACTATACCACAATGTAGCCGAGGCAGAGCGCTCTGCGGGCTCCACGGCGCTGTTGACAGACCTACCTGACGGCGCTGTACAGCCGGTCATTCAGCTGTCAGCCACAGGCAAACACAAGATGGATGCTTAAATTATCGCCGGCATAATTGTCATACCAGCGATCACCTCAAGCTGACGACAGAGCACTTTATATAATTTTGGATGTGAAAGTGTACTTTTCCTCCTTTCAAAAATATACTGAGCCAAAGTTGCATTGTTTTAGCGTTTTCAAATGTGTCGGCCATATGTCTTCTTCTTCTTTGGGGACGGAACAATGGATTTGTTTTATATTTCACTGATGAATGTCTGTGACCGATATATTTGAAAATGTTAAAATAATATATTTTTGTCTCAGTACCTATACCTATTTTTGACAGGAGTGAAGGTCATGATAATAACCAAGCATTTAATTTTCACATTAATGTGAATGCCTATTGAATAGGGTCAGTGACATACTATTTTTTTTTTTTGGTGATGGATTTTACAGGATGTCTCCGTTCTACCTGTCTCAGTGTCTGCAGCTCTTTCCGCTCTCACCTGTCTGGTCCTGGAAGTTGTATCCGTTCTACCTGTCTCAGACTCACTGGCGGATCCAGGGGGGGCCACGGGGGCCATGGCCCCCCCCAAAGGCCTAAAGTGGCCTGTTTGGCCCCCCCCAAAACGTCAGAAAAATTTCTAAGAAAATATACCTTGATGGAGGTTTTTAGCCACTTGGTGAAGTAAAGCTTCCACAGCATAATATGGAAGCAATATGGTAGCAGTGAGGGTCAGTCAAAAGTTGCGCGAGCGGAGTCGACCTTCAAAAAAAGACTGTTGTTGGCACGTGTTTATGGCGCGGCAGCTGGTAGTTGGCGGTGTTTCGCGTGGTGTGGCATCACTGGCGGATCCCGGGGGGGGGGGGGGGTAGCACGGGAGCCTGAGGTGCCCCTGACAGGCCTGTGGTGCCTCTGGCGGGCCTAGGGTGCCCCTGCTAGGCTGCTGATGCCCCTGGGACCTGACAGGACTGTGGTGCCCCTGACAAGCCTTAAGTGCCCCCAACAGGCCCGTGATGCCCCCGACAGGCCCAAGGTGCCCCTGCGACCTGCGTGATGCCGTGATGCCTGCGAGGCCGGTGGTGCCCCTGCGAGGCCGGTGGTGCCACTGCGAGGCCGGTGGGGCCCCTGACAAGCCCATGGTGCCCCTGCGAGGCCGGTGGTGCCCCTGCGAGGCCGGTGGTGCCCCTGCTAGACCGGTGGTACCCCTGGCAGGCCTGTGGTGCCCCTGCTAGGCCGCTGGTGCCCCTGGGCCCTGACAGGACTGTGATGCCCCTGACAGGCCCAAGGTGCCCCTGTAAGGCCGGTGGTGCCCCTGTAAGGCCTGTGGTATCCCTACTAGGTCTCTGGTGCCCCTTTGACAGGCCCATGGTGCCCCTGCGAGGCCGGCGGCGCCCCTGGCAGGTCTCTGGTGTCCCTGACAGACCTGGGGTGCCCCTGACAAGCCTGTGGGGCCCCTCACAGGCCCGTGGTGCCCTTGCTACTTGCTAGGCCTGTGGTGCCCCTGGCGGGCTGGTGGTGCCCCTGCTAGGCCGGTGGTGCCCCTGACACGCCTGTGGTGCCCCCGGGCACCAAGGGGGGTCATGACCCATGTGGCCCCCCTTGGATCTGCCACTGATACATAATATATTGATTTGTAAAGGCGTTATGGCTTATGCAATATGCAATTGCAGGCACTTGGTATGCCTCACTTATCCCTTATTGGGGGCTCTGGCGGGCTCCTGAGGGCCCACGTCTATCTCCGGGAGCCCTTGACAGGCTCCTTTGGGTCCTTTCAGTCCACTATAGCATAAGAGGTCTCCATGCGAGTCCTATACATCTGAGGGCGTACCCTGACGTCTGAGGTACCCAACTGCAGCTCCAATGGTCTCTTACACTGGCGGATCCAGGGAGGGGGCATTTATGGGCCATGCCACCTTCCCAGAGGTCTAAAGTGGCCCGTTTGCCCCCTCCCCCAAACGATAATGAAACATAGTTCAATCAGTGCGTGGCCTAGGAGCCGAGTTAGACAGGGGGTGTTTTACCACCTCCCGGCCCGCAAAGGGACCCAAGCACTGACTCGAAGCGGGTTAACTGGTCGACAAAAGCAATGGTAAGTGCTTACAAAGTAATATAAAGGCATGGGTCGGGTGGGCTACCATTTATATATTTTTCTTTCTAGTTAAAAAAAAAATCATAGTGTCGGGGCTGTGACGAAAAATAAGTGGCCTAAATCCGATGAGAAAACAGGATTTGGGGGTACCCTAGGTTTGGCTCCAGCATGAGTTGGCCCCCCCCCCAAAACGCAAGCCTGGATCCGCCAGTGGTCTCAGTGTCGGTAGAATTGTCCAGTCTGACCTGTCTGGTCCTGGAAGATGTATCCGTTCTACCCGTCCCCGTGCCGGTAGAGCTGTCCGTCTCACCTGTCTGGTCCTGGAAGATGTATCCGTTCTACCTGTCTCCGTGTCGGTAGAACTGTCCGGTCTCACCTGTCTGGTCCTGGAAGATGTATCCGTTCTACCCGTCCCCGTGCCGGTAGAGCTGTCCGGTCTCACCTGTCTGGTCCTGGAAGATGTATCCGTTCTACCCGTCCCCGTGCCGGTAGAGCTGTCTGGTCTCACCTGTCTGGTCCTGGAAGATGAGCGCGGCGTCTGTGGCGTTGGCGTATTTGAGGTAGTCGTCGGCCGCCTGGATGTACGGCCGGTTGGTGACGTCCAGCTTCATCCAGGGCACGTCCGAGAGCTGCGCTGCCTCGGCCACGCCCTCGACCGGGTCCCAGGTCAGGTCAACCACCGCCGACAGCGCAGAGCTCGCCTGGCCGCACACTGACCAACGATCGGAGCGGTTAGGGCAGTTGAAAACGAGGGAACTTCAGTTCCATTGCTTGAGATATGACTTTTAATGAGAAATGAAAAGAACATATACAAGGTTTCAAATGAAGTAAAACTGGAAACGACACAACATGCGTTCCACTATCTTACCGAAGTCCTTTCTCTGCGCGTCTTGCAGCTGGTTTTAGTCCCCTAACTACTTACCAAAGTCCTTTCTCTGTTGGTCCTGCAGCTGGCTGTCGACGAGGACGAACTGGGGACTGACGCTGAGACCCTCGTTCGTCGACACCATGTCGGTGATGGCGCTGCTGATTGACGTCTCCAGAGCGCCCTCCGTCGAGTCCAGCAGAATCACTGCAAACATAAATAACACGAAACTGAATAAAGAAATATCCATCTTTATCGCTCAAATGTCTCGATCATTCGTCCAACGTGCAAGTTAACAATGCGGCTAAAATACGAACGCATTCATGAGAACAGTTTTCCATTCAAAATTTACGATACCTGTTCTCCACAAGGGTTTTTACGTGTCTGTATTTGTCAGCTGTTTTATTCTCTTGCCAAGAAATGCTTTTCGTTCTGTTATCTACACAACTACGTTAACCATTATCAAAGAAGTTACAGCACACTTACCCTGTCTGACCAGCTTCGGCCCGATTGTTTAAACCCATCGGTCGTGCGCCGTCTATTTTATGACGGGCTGTTTATTATGATTTCTTTAGGTAGGTACTTAATTTTCTACAGGTTTTACAGTTATTGCGCTGAACAAATCTATATTACTATTTGAGGAGGGCGTAGTTTCTGTCTATTACGAAGGTCGCGACATGGTGCTACGTAGCGCGGGTTACAGATCACACCGTTGCACCTACCGCGCTGAAATTTGCGCAAGTTATAGAACAAGGATGGACAACGTGCCTTTGAGCGGTCTCGGCTCGATCGGATCGATAGCGAGCGCGTGGCGCGTGCCCAAAAAGTGCAAATTCGCGTCATAGACTTTACATGTATTAATCGGCTGGCAAAAACGGGCGAAAACAGCCAAATTTGCCCGACACGGGTCCGGTCCCGGTGCAACATCTCGGTAACCGTGGGCCCGACCGGTACGGGGAAAACAGCATCGTGTAGAGAATCGAACGGGCTATCGAATGGTGTGCGCTGCAGGGGTGGCACGCGCCACGTGCACCGGGGAGGACACTTTCTTTTGAAAAATGGACGTTTTGGACGGATTTTGGAATTTATTTAATTATCCATTTGAGTAGGATTGCGGGTTTTTTGAAGCGCTGAGTTTTTGCAGCGAGCTTTTTCTCTTAGGGCTTGCGAGATAGCTGCGTACACACATATCTCTTCAGCATTGCGCGTTACATGGAATGCGGCTGAATTCACGTGCGATTGTGAGTGAGGTACCCCCAGTTGGAAGATTCGGCTGTAGAATATGTAGTTTTAAATGCGTAGTTTGACGTAGATCTCGGAAAAGTGAGATACGGCCAGGAATGAGTGTGGGTACCTCCGTCCTGAAGATTCTGATCGGCGCCGATTGAAATAATTCGCCGTGCATATCTCGGCTTATTGACGACCGATTGACACGGGACAAACACCGATCGATACCAAATGGCTCTGGGGGGGGGGGGGGGGAATAGAGTGGCAAGTTTTTCTACCCGACGAACCCGGAATTATCCCGAGGGTGTAGGGGTGGGAGTAGAGTCGGGGGAACAAGGGGGGGGGCGAGTACAAGTACCAAGCAAGTACCAAGTACTTTCGCAAGTACCAAGTACTTTTACAAGTACCAAGCAAGTACCAAGTACTTATGCAAATACCAAACAAGTACCAAGTACTTTGGCAAATACCGAGTACTTATGCAAATACCAAGCAAGTACCAAGTACTTTGGCAAGTACCAAGCAAGTACCAAGTACTTTTGCAAGTTCAGCAAGTTTTTCGCCAATATCGAAGCTTCTAGACGTCCGATCGTCACCGGAAAAACACCATTCGATCCCAAATTTTCTCCCGAATCTTTTTATGGCCAAAGCGACGCGGAGCGAGCCAAGATATCTTGTTTAATTATCCATTTGAGTAGGATTTCGGGTTTTTTGAAACGCTGAGTTTTTGCAGCGAGCTTTTTCTCTTAGGGCTTGCGAGATATCTGCGTACACACATATCTCTTCAGCATTGCGCGTTACATGGAATGCGGCTGAATTCACGTGCGATTGTGAGTGAGGTACCCCCAGTTGGAAGATTCGGCTGTAGAATATGTAGTTTTAAATGCGTAGTTTGACGTAGATCTCGGAAAAGTGAGATACGGCCAGGAATGAGTGTGGGTACCTCCGTCCTGAAGATTCTGATCGGCGCCGATTGAAATAATTCGCCGTGCATATCTCGGCTTATTGACGACCGATTGACACGGGACAAACACCGATCGATACCAAATGGCTCTGGGGGGGGGGGGGATAGAGTGGCAAGTTTTCCTACCCGACGAACCCGGAATTATCCCGAGGGGGTAGGGGTGGGAGTAGAGTCGGGGGAACGGGGGGGCGAGTACAAGTACCAAGCAAGTACCAAGTACTTTCGCAAGTGCAAGTACCGAGTACTTTGGCAAGTACCAAGCAAGGACCAAGTACTTTTGCAAGTTCGGCAAGTTTTTCGCCAATATCGAAGCTTCTAGACGTCCGATCGTCACTGGAAAAACACCATTCGATCCCAAATTTTCTCCAGAATCTTTTTATGGCCAAAGCGACGCGGAGCGAGCCAAGATATCTTGTTTAAATATCCATTTGACTAGGATTTGGCGTTATTTGAAACGCTCAGTTTTTGCAGCGAGCTTTTCCTGTTAGGGCCTGCGAGATACCCGCGGAAACACATATCTCTTCAGCATTGCGCGCCACACAGGAATGCGGCTGATTCACGTGCTTTTGTGAGCGAGGTGCTTCCCTCCGGGAGAAATTCGCCGTCCCCATATGCTTAACACAGAGCCGAGCGGCGGCTGACAGGTGGCCGGCTCTCGGGAGATCGGCAGCCGACACTCGAAAAATCGACAACCCGCCGCTGAATGCGCGTGCGGCAGTGCTGAGCCGAGTCGTTCCCACGGTCTGAGGTACCCCCAGTTTGAAGATTCGGCCTTAGAATATGTAGTTTTAAATACGTAGTTTGACGTACATCTCGGAAAAGTGAGATACGGCCAGAAATGAGTGTGGGTCCCTCCGTTCTGAAGATTCTGATCGACGCCGATTGAAATAATTCGCCGTGCATATCTCGGCTTATTGACGACCGATTGACACGGGATAAACACCGATCGATACCAAATGGCTCTGTGTGTGTGTGGGGGGGGGGAGGGGGTAGAGTGGCAAGTTTTCCTACCCGACGAACCCGGAATTATCCCGAGGGGGTAGGTGTGGGAGTAGAGTCGGGGGAACGGGGGGGGGCGAGTGCAAGTACCAAGTACTTTCGCAAGTACCAAGCAAGTACCAAGTACTTTTACAAGTACCAAGCAAGTACCAAGTACTTATGCAAATACCAAGCAAGTACCAAGTACTTTGGCAAATACCGAGTACTTATGCAAATACCAAGCAAGTACCAAGTACTTTGGCAAGTACCGAGTACTTTGGCAAGTACCAAGCAAGTACCAAGTACTTTTGCAAGTTCAACAAGTTTTTCGTGAATATCTAAGCTTCTAGACGTCCGATTAACACGGGACGAACACCAATCGATCCCAAATTTTCTCCCTCATACTTTGATTGCCAAAGCGACGCGGAGCGAGCCAAGATATCTTGTATAGTATACTATTTGAGTAGGATTGCGGGTTTTTTGAAACGCTCAGTTTTTGCAGCGAGCTTTTTCTCTTAGGGCCTGCGAGATACCCGCGGAAACACATATCTCTTCAGCATTGCGCGCCACACAGGAATGCGGCTGATTCACGTGCTTTTGTGAGCGAGGTGCTTCCCTCCGGGAGAAATTCGCCGTCCCCATATGCTTAAAGGTAGTGTGCCACCTTTGAAAGATTTCCCATTTTAATTTTCCTAGGATAAGAAGCTTCTGTTTTTACCTAATATCGCAAAAAAAATCAAAAATGGGCCTGGAATAGTGCCTTTTTCGCCTAAAAGTTTATCGGTTTTTAGATATGTATAACAACTGTAGTGGGCTCACCTGCAAACAGGCGTCGGGCAACAATCGCGAATGCGGCGCACTTGTGACAATAAGCAAAGGTCATTATAGTGTAACGACCATACGACGTACGGGAATGAGTTATCAGCTGTCTAATCGTAGACAACACAATGTCGAGCCTTAAACTGTAAGCCCGTATTGGTATTGTTTCTTTTATTTGGCTGTCGAACATTATTTATGGTTTGAAATATGATTTTATGTAAAATAATTGATATGAAAAAGCCGTCTTATAAGTTATGACCCCATTTCACCGCACGCAAGTGGCAGAAATGACAATGATCAGCTGACGCATTTTTCTTGGCCGAAGTCAGAGCGCGCAGCCCGACGCACCACCACCGCACCACAAAGTATGAGCAGAAGCCGCGCCCAAAGCCAGGGCCCCGGTAACGTGAGGTAGCCGAGTCGGGGCAGCGTGCGCTGACCCAAGCCGGGGCCGCAGCTTTGGGCGCGGTCTACCGCATCTCCGCGGGCAGCCCCGGGCTATCACATGACACCGGGAGGACGCGCGGCTCCGGCTTGAGTCAGCGCACGCTGCCCTGACTCGGCTACCTCACGTTACCGGGGCCCTGGCTTTGGGCGTAGTCTACCGCATCACCTAACAGGCGTGTTCGAAACCGCAGGAGCTGATGACGAACGGGTTTATCGAAACTTGATTGGATGAGCATATCGGTAATAGCGATTTCAGTGTGTGCATTTATTGCTCATAGTGGTGTGAAATGTGGTTGGGGTACGACCGACAACCCGTCGGGGCGAATTTCGCACTGGGGTACTCAAAATTTGAAGAATTTAAGACGTTTCCATGAGTTTTGAAGGTATGGATAAGTTCTAAAAATCCGGTTCTCCTTATCTGGGCCATTAACTCCATACGGTCCAAGAAAGCTGGCACACTACCTTTAACACAGAGCCGAGCGGCGGCTGACAGGTGGCCGGCTCTCGGGAGATCGGCAGCCGACACTCGAAAAATCGACAAGCCGCCGCTGAATGCGCGTGCGAAAATGAGCGAGGTACCGCCGTTCCGGAGATCCGGCAGCCGGCGGCCGGCCGACGGCTGGAAAATTCCACCGGCCGGCCCGGCGGCAGTGTGTCGGGCGGCGGGCGGCGGGGCGGGGTTTCCCCGTCCAGCGGCCGGCAGCGCTGAGCCGAGTCGTTCCCACGGTCTGGCGGCCAGCTGGGTGGGGGCGGGGTGGGGAGTGGGGCGGCCGAT